GAACAATTGCATCCTTTTGCATTTTGAAAGCTTTCTATAACAGAACCATACAGTTCATGTCATCTACAATTGCAATTCTTACGTCATTTTTAATGAATGTTGGTATATTTAGTCCCACTTCATTAATTTTGATTACCAGAGGGTTTTCTCATATATTGCTACATTCTGCTGTATTTTTCCACTCTGTAATTGATAGGTATTATGGTCAGTGCCTTTTATCCTACTTTATTAGTATCTTTACCAATAACATGTACAATATAAAGCCAGGCATCAGGTATACCATCATATTCAATATATTTTTAATCTCTGGGAACGAAAGAACAGGAACAGAGAAAGATATAAAAGGGGCGCAATTCTGTCTGTATTATTTTGTTGCTGTAGAAAAAGACCAAAACTGATGCAGCAGAATGTTGACATTTGTTCCCTTAGCCCTTCTTACGTAATATATCTGGTAATTTTATAAAGAGAAATATGTGTACTAGGAAGGCAGCCAGTTTTTCTCCAGGTCTTCCCTTGTGTCCTCCAGCCCAGCAGCAGGGATGAAATCCCGTCTGTACCATGGGGTGTCAAAACCAGGGAGGGAAACCAAAGGGGAAGCTGACCAAAACCCTTCCCTATGACCACCGAAGAATTCAAGTGAATATCAGAAAATTTTTATAACAGTCATCATGTTTGATAAGGGGCAGATTTCTTCTCAGGAGGAGAATGGGTCCTGTCATTTTTTTAAGAGAAATTAGACTAGCAGATTGAGAACTGGGTGAGCATTTGTTCAAACATACATGGGAACTTGTCAGCAAGAAGACCATTCAGCTGGAGCCCCCGGGAAGTTTGGTTCTGACCGTTCCATGCCTGTGCTCTTCTCGCTGATTCCCATACATGAATTTGTGGTAAAACAGCTACTCTCATGACTAACACGTTACCTAAGGGTCTACGTTAGCTGACTGGCATCAGTGTAGAATGCTGCCTGACATGACCCCTGGCTACTGGAAACAGAAGAGCTGTCCTCAGGAAGGTCAGGGAGACCAAGGAGGCCGTGGACTCCTGGTCAAGAAGGATCATCCTTGAGAGGAGGTGCAGGTGTGATGCTTCCTGAGTGGCCCAGTGCTGTTGAATAGCTTGTCACAGCCGACTCTTTACAGTTTCTGTTTCTCTTGGGGAACCACTATCCAAAGCTCTTCATTAGACAAATGTTTTTACCTCATTCTGATCCCTGGACAGTACAAATCCTTAAAAACCAAGATGATAGAAGAGAGGAACTCATGCTGGGTAATCCCTGGCCCTGTTATGTCAGGTGTACCTCGTCCATTACCTCCACCTGTTCATGCTCACCTCAATTTCACTTACCTTGCACAGATATACACACTCCCGTACTAGTGAATTTCAGGATTCGTTTTTAAAGTTACAAACAAATGCATCTCTACATACTTAATAAAATCAGAAAGCCTGATTCCAATTTTAAGTGTGAAAACATACTTTATGTATTGGGCATAAACAACATATCTATAAAAGTTAAGATATTGTAAAATTCAAACACTTCAGGGTATTTCATTTTTAGAGTCACTGAATGTCTTCTGTTCTTTAATTTCTTATCTCTATTTTTCCCCTTTTC